TCCTAAAAATGTACTGTGATATTCTTCATTTTATAAATGACAAAAGCAAGGTACAGAGAAGTTAAATTGCCCTCCAAAGTTCAGACAGGCAGTCAATAACTCAGTTTTCAAGCCATTGTCCACAACATAGCACCATCTTTTCCTTTAAAATTCTGGGAGTACTTCTTAGGCAAGAACAGTTTATTAATGCCTCCTGTGTGCTGGAATATCCTGCACATGATCACATAGAGGGAACCTGCAGCCCAGATCCCTCTCTCGGGAACTGAGCCTTTTACTGGCTTGCTCTAAATCAGATGCAGGCCATCGGGTACTTAATATGGGCCAATTCAACCACACAGACCTCAAAGATCACTATTTTTGCCTTAAACATCTTACACCAAGAAAAAAATAATAGCTTTATTCACTGAGTTGGGCATTTTGCCAACAAAACTTAGTCTTTCAAAGGGAATAAGATGCGGGGCTAGTTGAAGTCACGTTTATGCCACACTGTGGTAAATGGATTTGCCAAGAGCACATAAAGGTAAAAGTTCTAACCTTTTTAAGATTCACATTTACCAGAATAATTTATAATTTTTACTTCTAAAGTCAGTCAGTGGAGAATTATGTATGCAAATTGTCCCCAGTTGCCTCTGACAGCCAGGGCATAATTTTGTCCCTGGCTTACACAGCTTAAGAACTTTTTACTTGTAATAAACAGAGCCACTTATGCCTCACTGCTACTACCAAGCCTTCAAATTAGTTCTGAGGTTGCTGACAACCACGACAGTCTTCTAAATATTGAAATCACAGGGAGCAATTTTTCTATTTCCTCTTCAAAATCAGTAGTTTGGTTGGGGGAGGGGCAGGACTAGTGGATGATGATCTAGCAAATATGTGCTTTATGGAGGCATTTATTAAGAATGTTTGGGTAGCAGTGAGTACCAAATGTGGATACCATGTGGTGCTTTGTCTAGAAATGGAACACTGATGACATTTGATTTCCAGCCTAACGAAATGCATATTTATATACTCTTCATCAAAAGCAAACATTCTTTGCATTGCTATTTGCCATTCTTATTCAAATTCTAAGGTAAAGAACTAAGAACTTATTTTTACTCAACAGCACAACAAAAAAAGATTTTCCTTTTTTTCTCAGCTGTACTAGTAAAGGCTTTGGGTGCACTTCCTGCTCCAACTTGTAGGTCCTATTTTTATCCAGGGCTGCTGCTGACAATCCCAAAGCTGGTTCTGCAGCTCATATGCTTCCTTCTGCTGCCAGAGGCCTCCCACATTGCTTTTGGCTCCAGGGCACTCTTACAGTCATCTTTCTACCCATTTATTTGTGGTTAACCCACTTTAGTATGTCCTACAGTGGTTGCTCTGTCATCCATCCTCATGTCTAGGCCAGAAGATGTGGGTACAGAGCCCAGGAAGTGCTGACCACGGCGGCCTACCCGTAATGTCTTTCCAGGGCCTCAGTGAGGATTCTGGGTTGTAATCATGGTGAGATGGGAAACCACTGGAGGATTCTACCATGTGGAAAATGACATGATTTGCAGATGTGTCCACTGCACACCACTGAAATAAGCCAGGCAAGAAGTGACAGTGGCCTGGACCAATGTGGTGATGGCAGAGGAAGTGAGAGGAGGTGGGATCCTGGGTATTTAGAAATAAAACTCAAGCATTCTACAAGAAGATGCTACAGCTATTCTCAATAATTATTTCAAGCTCTAAATGTCAACATATTAATTTTTTTGTCTGCCCTGAGACTTCAGCTGTTGATGGTTTTCAAATATTGCAGGATCTCTATCTTGTTTACATGGAGTACCTGAGATAATATAGCTTTCCTGGAAGGGTCATCTTTCTAAAAGGAAGATCATCCACTGTTACAACATTATAATAAAATTGAATTCTTAACATTTGTCTTCTTTCAGTGTGTTGGCAGGTACAACTCTAGATCAAATAGAATAATGTCTTACCAGAAGACAAAAATATCACCTCCAAATTTCAAGTACTTCTGTTATAAGAAGCCCTGATATTTTTGAATCATTATACTCAACCTTTAATGAGCTCTAATTATCCACTGCTACATAACAAACTACCCTAAAACTTGGCACATCTCAATTAGGTGGGTCAGGAAACCAGAGGTGGCTTGGCTGGGTCCTCTGCTTTGTGATCTCTCCCAGGTTTGTCAAGGTGTTGACTAGGCCTGTGATCACACTGGAAGGCATACCTGGGACAGAAACTTCTTCCCAGCTCATACGGCTGCTGGAGGATTTGTATGCTCCAGGGCTATGTGGCTCAGACCCTGTTTCCTGCAGGCTGTTGGCCACCTTTACCTCCTTGCCATGTGGGCCTCCAACACATGGCAGCTTGCTTCATCAAAGGCAAAAAAGAAAGACCTGCTAGCATGATGAAGGTCACAATCTCTTATAACCTAATATCACAGAGATGACATCTCATCACATTGTCTGCATTCTGTAGGTTATGGGCAAGACACTAGGTTCAGCCCACACTTGAAGGAGAAGCACACATAAGGCACGACCAGCAGCAGGAGGGGTCAATGGCTGCCATTTTAGAAGCTGTCTACCACACCACTGATTTATTGACTTTGTGACACTTTAGGCACTATTCTTAGCCTCCCTTAGGAAGCTTCCACGGAAGAAGAGGAGCAAAACTAGGAAAAATAAAATGTGGGTTCTGATGATAATAAATACCATTATCGCAGAGAAATAGAAAGTAGTTGTGGTATTGTTATTGTTACAGTCATTACTCCTCTGACAATAAGGAGAGGTCACTTTTACATCCAGGGCCAGAAAGTTCTCCTGGTTGTCCCAATATACTGCTTCCACACCTACTCACCTGAGGCTTCCAGGCAGGTGGGCATGTGAATGAGGCAAAAGGGTAACGGGGACCAGCATTAGAGGATAGGCATTAAAAATATAAGTTCTGGGTACAGCGTGTCTGATCAAGTCACTGCCTGGTAACTGTGGGCAAGTTATCTGACCCCTCTGTGCCTCAGTTTCCTTTTCTGTAAAGTGGGAATAACAATGAATCTTAGCTCATAGGGATTTTATCTGTTAACGTTCATTAGAGAACCTGGAACAAGAGTAATGAATATGAAAATATTAAGATCCCATCAAGAAGGGAAGTCAAACTCAAGAGCTTAAACTAAGGAAGGAACTTCCAATAGCATCACATTAAAGACTAGATTTGGAGTCAATAGAAAACAAAAAAAAAATTTAATCCATGTCATAATGATTGTAACTAGTAGAACAAAGTCTAGGTAGTCAGCAAGTCCAGGTTTTAAAAAATTAGTATTTAGGGCCAGGGAGATGACTCAGTGGAATAAGTGCTTGCCTGGCAAGTGCAAGGGCCTAGGTTCAATCTCTGGTTCTGCCCAAAAAATTAATTAATTAATTAATTTAAAAGTTAGTATTTAGTAGGAATTATTCACAGGGCAATTTATTCCATTTCAAAAATGGCATCATGGACACATGGGTATTTATCTTTCCTAAACATATTTTACAGTTCCCAGTTCTAAGACTTTCTATTTCTCCAGAAATTACTTCTCAAGTGTTAGTTAATTGGGACATTTTATTTTTATTTCTGATTTTCCTTCTGTCTCTCTCCACAGGTTTTCTTTCCCTAATTAAAACTGAATAAAGGGGCTGGGGAGATGGCTCAGTGGAATAAGCACTTCCCTGGCAAGCGCAAGGGTCTGAGTTCAATCCCCGGTTCAAAAAAAAAAAAAAAAAAAAGAAGGGCAAACATTGCACTAAAATATAAAACAAATACAGCTTTGCTTTTTTAAAAAAAACATAAAGACACAAACATACATAGTAAGAGATATAATTAGATGAGCCTTGGCTTCCTACTGCTTGTGAACAAATAACCAAAGTTCCCTTTCCAGGTATCACTACTCTTGTTGTTGTCACCAACCATCATCATCCAAGAGGTCACGCTGTCCTTGCCATTGTCCCCGGTCCTGAGCAGGCTCTGCTGTACCAGGAAGTGTCAGGGAGCAATGGAATATGAACTGCAGCATGAGGATTCAGGAAGAAGTGGCTGGAGAGCATACAGGGTTGCAAGTCCGGACTCCTCTTTCTTGAATTTTAGCATCCCAGGAAAAGAGAAGACACAGAGTCTCCCTGTATCTGAAGCTCCACCTCCTAGGGTTTCAGCTACATGCCATCAGCCAGGTCCAGAAATATTAGGTGGAAAATTCCAAAACAAATCAAAGTTTTAAATAACTTTTATTGCAGCTCGCTATTAGTAACAAAATATTGTTCTAGTTTATTAGCAAGTGTTATTGTTGCTCCTTATGGTGCCTACTTTATAAATTAAATTTTATTATAGGGATATGTGTATAGGACAAATATCGTGTGCACAGCGCTCAGTGTCATCTGCAGTGTCAGGCATTCACTGGGGGTCTTCAAATGTTTCTCCTGAGGACAGGAGGGAGGAGCTGTAAGAGCTTGAGATTATGAAGGTCAACAGCTCTGTGTGTGTGTGTGTGTGTGTGTGTGTGTGTGTGTGTGTGTGTGTGTTACTGGAGACTGAACCCGAGACCTTCACACTGAGCTATATCACCTGCCCTGTTTTATTTTTTTGCTTTGAGAGGTGTTGGTCTCACTTAACTACCAAGGCTGGGCTTGAATTCATGAGTCTCCTGCCTCAGCCTCCCAAAGTGCTGGGACTGCAGGTGCACACAACTACCCCTGCATTTGTTTGGTCTTACACTGGAGACATCTGACTTCTTTGTTGGCTGAGGGAGCACGAAAAGCATCATACAATGAAGATGCATCCGCGGGGGTTTATGTCCTGTCTTCCAGGTGTGATGCCCTCCAGCCCAGGAGCTTGAGTTAACTCAGCACACGGCAAGGCCGGTGCATGTTTAGCCTGAGACCTCCTTACCTCTGAGAGCCTATTCTTAACCATACACATTGAACAGCGAAGGGAAAAAAGGGAAAATGGGGCCAGGAAGAGCATGACCATCTAAATTCTATTCCTTTCTCCAGAGTTGAAGAAAGTTCCAACCAACATCCCTCCGGATATCATTAAGCTTGACTTATCATACAATAAAATCAACCAGCTTCGGCCCAAGGAATTTGAAGATGTTCATGAGCTAAAGAAACTGAACCTCAGCAGCAATGGCATTGAATTCATAGATCCTGGTAAGTGCCACCGAGCAGCCACTTAAGTGGACGATGGGTGTTGTGTGACCTTTCTCCTATGGCCACACTTACAATAAATCTGATTTAGTTTAAGAAAGAAAGAAACGAAATGAAACCAAACTACATAATTTAAAAGTATAAATTTTAAAGAAGCATAGCACTTAAGGCAGACTTGTTTAACACTTAGAGAAATATTTGCCAAAATGTTGCTTTTTTTTGAGACAGTGTTCTCAGGCTGGCCTTAAACTAATTCACTATGCAACCAAGGCTGGTGATCCTCCTGCCTCAGCCTCTTGAGAGCTGGGACTTCAGGTGTGTGCAACCTCCCCCCCAGACCAAAATCTTGTCTAATGAAGTACGTGACACTATAGTGTTGTCCATAGGCATTCACAAGGGAGTGACTCTAGAACCCATACCAAATTCTACAGACACTTAGGTTCCTTATACAAAATGACACAGTAGGGAAGGCAAGATAGCTCAGAAGTCTAAGTGCCTGCCTGGCAAGCACAAGTACCTGAGTTTGATCCCTAGTATAACATGCCAGGCCAGCCCCAAATCGAGCATGGTGGTTCATGCCTGTAATCCCAGGGCTGAACAGGTTGAAACAGCAGGATCACTATGAGTCCAAGCTGCATAGCAAATGAATAAATGTATCAAATGAATAAATATAAAAAATTTAAAAATAAATTAAATGGCACAGTATTTGCATATAATCTATGAGATACTCCCCTATAATTGAAATCATTTCAAGATTACTTATAACATTTAACACAATGTAAATGCTATGTGGATAGCTGTTTTATGGCATTGTTTAGTGAATAAGAATAAGTAAAAAGACTTCAGCCCAGTACATATTCAGTACTGATGCAATATTTTTCAAAAAGATTTGACCCATGGTTGGTTGAATCAAAACACACAGAGACCCTATTTATATAGAACATTGACAGGATAGTACTAAGAAACAGTTATTCACTCACTCCAAGGACACAGAGTATTCTATAGAATAGATTTCTTAAAATAGGAATATATGGCAAGTTGCCAATAATACATTAACTGTATATGACTTTTATGTGGAAATTCAGATTTGGCATTTTATTTGCTACTCATTGAGCCTTACCTTGTTTAGAATAAGTTTGAAACTGCCCAGGTCCCCAGGCCAGTGCAATATTTCCCTCTGATGCTGTTGGTCAAAGCCAAAGCTTATCAGTGATCAAAGCATATAGACAAGATTGAGAGCTATCTCTAAAAGAAACTAAGATGTTAGCAATTCTGTTGTCTAAGTTAAATGTATTAAAGCAATAAATAATGGAGTAATTACAATAGAAGTAAAGAACACTACAGAAAAATAAAAGATGAAACAGACTTCAATAGTCATTGAAGATGGACTGGTTTTCCTTCCAGGGATATTTCCCCCTCATCAGTTATGGTATTGACATAATTGCAAGGGTCTCTTTGCTGCACTTGGGACCCTTTACTGTTGCTCACCCAGTGCCTCTTCTTGCTAACATTTGACACGCTCCTCCTTACCAGAGGTGGAACTCTTTTTTCCATTTGATAAACTCAGCCTGAAAAAGTATTTCCTACATAGAAATATATGTATTGAGCACCCATCAGACACTTTTTTTGGGAATGTCCTCTGGAATGAAAAAGTATCTCAGCACTTAAGGAAAAATATGAAGTTAGATTTATTTTTATTTATTTATTTATATTTAGTACAGGGTCTACAGGGTTGTACTACACAGATCGGACTCATAGTGGTCCTCCTGTTTTCAGCCTCCCAAGTGCTGGGATTACTGGCACGCGCCACCACGCCCAGTCTCAATTGCCTTCTCAGTGCGCCTGGGGGCCAAGGCTGGCATAGCATACCAGGAATCAAACCCTGGCAGATGCTTTAATCCACCACGCTGAAGGAGTTTTAAAGTAAAAGACCTACTATATATGTCAGGGCTTTTACAATGAAACATGGGCAAAGTAGGATTACCATAAGGATTTATGCAGGTAAGTACGCAAATTCAGTAAGAGTTGCCAGAATTTAAAAGGTATGAATAAACAATCTCATAAAATGCTAGTCATAAGGCAGAAAAGGGAAAAAAGCCACCCTAGTAGGGCGTCATCTCCTTTAAGAAACATGAAAACTAGCTTTCACAAGTGCCTGCATACATGCATGTATGGCTTAAACAATAGCTATAGTACTTTCCAAGAAAGCTCAGGAATGCTTACATATGCTTCCAATCTAAAGAGCTGAATTGTTTTTAAGAAGAGTAGTTTGTGAGATCCCTGACTCACAGCATTTTAGCAAACAAGAAAATATGCAATGTCTTCAGAACTATCATCCCAAGGACTGACCTTTTGTTCCCTCCCCCCACCCCAAGCCATTGCTTTGCACCAAAATAGAAAGTTTCTTTTGGGGGCTGAATTATGGTTTTTGTCAGAGTAAAGATAATATAAAAATAGTTAATGGTACTGGTATGCCAGCATACTTTCCAAATTCATAATAAGGATAATATGGTCTAACAAGGATGTCTTAAAAGAGCAATGAGAAAATGTTTGAAATAGAAATAAACTACTTGAAACCTGGATTGACCTATAAATTTTGGGGTATCCGGTCAGTACAGGTCAATTAAAGTAGGAATAACAGACACACCAATTTCTTTGCTCTTGGGAGAAGGGAAAAACCTTTTTTTGCTTTATTTTGCTGCATGTTTGATATTTATTCTAATTGCCCAGTCTCCAGAAAAATTAAATACATATGGATTCAAAGATGATAGCTACATAGTTTGCCAAGTCAAACCAGATGATTTCATGACGTGGATAGAAATTGGTTGGGGACTGTAGAGGAATGGTAGCACCCTAAACTGCAAAAAGGTGGCTTTTTGTGGCATCTTTCCAGTAAGTGTTAAAAAATACATACATCAGAAAACATTTTTAATAGTTAACTTAAAACTGGGCCGGGGAGATGGCTCAGTGGAATAAGCGCTTCCCTGGCAAGCGCAAGGGCCTGAGTTCAATCCCCGGTTCCGCCAAAAAAAAAAAAGAAAAATAGTTAACTTAAAACTGATATTTCAAATAAAATTATTGTACTCTAGTCAACCTAATCAATGGAAAAGTTTTGCTTAAATAAAAATATTTCAGAAATTTTGCATTCAGGCACATACCTAATGGGAAAATGCTAGTAAAAGCAAAATCTGCCAGCCCAGAATTCTTTTCCGCAAAGGCAGTGGAGATATAAGTGTTACACCAGAACTCATGCGCACCCCAGAATCCAGACAGAGAAGGTCCCTCGCCCCTGGTGCAATCAAGCGGCTGCCACCCACTGCACACACAATTTCAGGATAGACAACGACAAGTCCTCAAGTAAGACACTTGACAATGTATTTTATCACACATAGCTCATGACAATCTGGATTAATTCATTGCCTGTATCTATACAAAACACAGTTCAGTCTTTCTGACTGAAGGTAGTGCTGCAAGTGGAAGCAGACCTCCCCAGATTGAGGCTCCAGCCCAGAACAGAGGCTGAGGCACAAGGGCGCTACCCTCTTTGAGGCTTAGGTTTCAAAGAGATGGCTCTCAGGTCCTGGAGAAAGACAGTCCTGGGTGTAAAGGTGACAAGTGACCCATCTGGTCTTCAGAAGGATTTTACAAGTATTCTGAAGTAAATGCCCTGAGAAAAGGAAAGAATTCACCATTTTCAACAGGAAGAATTAGGTCTCTTAGTTTTGCACATTGAACAATTGCACTGACTCAACTACTCACTGATTTGATACATGTTTTCTATTTCTAGCTGCCTTTTCAGGGCTCACACATTTAGAAGAGCTGGATCTATCAGATAACAGCCTGCAAAACTTTGACTATGGAGTATTAGAAGACTTGTATTTTCTCAAGCTCTTCTGGCTCAGAGATAATCCCTGGAGATGTGACTACAACATTCACTACCTCTACTACTGGCTCAAGCACCACTACAATGTCCACTACAGTGGCCTGGAATGCAAAGTGCCTGAAGAATACAAAGGGTGGTCTGTGGGGAAATATGTCCGGAGCTACTATGAAGAATGCCCCAAGGACAAGTTACCGGCATACCCGGAGACATTTGATCAGGACACAGAGGACGATGAGTGGGAAAAAACACAGAGGGATCATACAGCGAAGAAGCAAAGTGTAAGGATCACCATCGTGGGGTGACTGGGAAAGGGTTCTGGGTGTAACTAGTTTTGTGTTTGATATACTGGTGTCAGAAAACCCTATGTTTACATTTTAACTATGTTGCTTATTTATGCAGGATCCAGCTACAGGAAGTTTTCTTTAATTATTTGGTAATTGTTATTATGTTGTGACAATTACAGTACTCAAGGGAGGACTCTCATCTTGCAGTCTTATCTGCTTGTGGAGCAGCTTTTGGGGATAAACAGTCCCACCCTAGTGACCTGCAGGAACTGGGTCCTAATGGTGGCAATTAAGATTTCATAATGTCCTGTATAAATGTTTGTACTGCTTTTTGGGGGGAGGGAAATAACTTGGCACATTTTTATATGCCTTTCAATAGCTCTTTGTACATACATGAAGATGATGAAAACAAAAAGATACAAATCCTTAATCATAATAAAATGTCATTCTTTCCTCCTGTCCACCCTCACCTTTATTCAGTGGGCCAACTTAGGTGCTAAATAAATTTCCTTTTCCGATTTCTATATATTCTAAAATGAGGTCTTATTATACAAAAGTCTCACTCTGCAATCCTTGCAAAAAACTGGCAAGCCAAACCTGGAGAAAATTGTTATGATAAGCCATAAAATAATATGAGAATATATTAATGGAAACTGGTTGGAAGATAAGGTCTGGGATACAGATGTAGATGGTGTGAATTATGACCCTGAAGAGTAACAAACACTGGTGAATGCGGAAATGTCACTGGGTTTTTGTTATCTTTTTTGAGCAGTGTCCAGAAAGCCACCTGTTTGTAGTGAAGGGTGCAGCATTCCCTGCTAAACTAAAGTGACAAGGACCATGAAACAAAGCATAAAATTAGGATTCATGGGTAAGAATTTACACTGAAGGCAAAACAAAAATAAGGAAATATGAGCCAATCAAGGCAACCAAGGGAGGTAGTGGTGTCCGAGATAATCCCCAAAGACTTGCAAGTTAAATTCAGCTCCTTGAGAGAAACAAATAACCAGAAAATGAAAAAATACATGGAGGATTTAAATTTCTGATTCCATCAGCTTGCATTTTGATAGTTGGTTGTATTCTATATGGAGAGAAAAATAAGGTGAAAGGAAATATATATGTAGCAAAATACAACTTTTCCTCTTGTATACAGGTTCCTTTTTCACGGTGAGTTGAATATGTTTTCATTTTTTGTGTCATTTTTGTGTGCCCACAAAGGTTAGCAAGTGGTGTCATGTGATAGACACTTATGCAAATTCCCGAAACCTGGAATATGATGTTATATGATAAACAGTACTGAGCACTTTTGAAACAGCTACTACATGTGGGGCACTATGCTAAGAGTTCCACGGATTCCCCTTGTAATTTTCACAGGATCCCTCTGAAGAAGAGGGTGTTGCCTGTTAGCTGTAGATGAGGAATCCAGAGCTGAGGGTGTGAGTAACTTGGACAAAGTCTCAGAGCAGGCAGGTGGCAGAGCCAGGGAATCAGGGCCACCTGACCCCTTTCTGCTGAACAGGGCAGTGGGCCACCATAAAACTACTCTTGGCCTTGGCTACCTGCCATCAGAATTTCCAGATCCAAATCCCCAAAGAGCAGTAGGTACCAGTAGGGTTAAACCTTTCTCACGAGAAGCACCCACGAAAGCCACTAGCAGGACAGAGTCTTTGGCCTAAGGCTGGTGAGCCTCTATCAACAGGTATAGGAAACCTAAAGCGGGAAGCCAGAGGTGCCCAGGCTGGAGGTTACAGAGGTGACCCTGGATCATGGGGTTCTAACCATGCTGCCCATTTTACTAATGAGAAGCAGGTTTTCAATGCAAATCCCACATCATTCACTATAAGGCATTACAAGATAGCTGTTGAAATTGAAGTATTACCAGGGAGATGTAACAAACTCATTTATTGTTCTTCATGAGCCTCAGAGTGGAACCTTAAGGGCTTGGGACCAGAAGCAACCACGGTTTGGTGATGAAGAAAGCCTTGTATGACCTCAGTAGGAGAAAGGAGGATTGCACAAGGGGCAAAAGGACTCTGGGACAGCATGAGATTTCATCTGATTCTGAGAAAGGGCCCAAGTTGCTCTCTGGTTTAATTTTTAGAGGCTAGTGGGGGGGGTATAAGTCGTTTTTTTCCTCCCTTGAGACAGGGTCTTGCTCTGTAGCACAGACAGGTCCTGCATGTGTAATCTCTCACCTTATTGCTGGTTGGTTTTTATATTCAGCATCATCCCAGGGATTCATTTGAAAATAAAGTTCTGGGCCACATCAAAGTAGAACTTAATCCAAGCCATCTAAAAGTAAGTCAGTTGCAGTTGCTGGTCTCTCTCAGGATCTTAGTTGAAGTACACTTTTGCAAGCTTAGGATGTGTACCTTCGCTGCATCATGGTTCACACTTTTTCAAGGAATATAGTTGATCCATGATGAACTGAACAATTACATGGATGCTTCGTCTCTGACCATTTTTTCCTCTAATACCTTGCCTTATGTTCAGGAGATCTAAAAAGTAAGTATACTTTATGCTATTCAAAAACTTGACTATCTGGAGATATACATATTTGAATAAATATATATATATATATATATATATATATATATATATATCACTTGAATGTTTGGATTAAATGTTTCTTTTTAAGTTGTTAGACTTAAAAGATTCTGGCTCTTCTGAAGTAAATAAGACTTGCTCTAAGCTAAGGCCTCTTGAGTCCTAAGTCTGTTGCCTCTGAACTAATGCCAGTGTTTTGGGGAAAGATATTTAACTTCATGTAGCCCCACGTTTTCATTTATTAACTATTCTCTGATGTGGAGCTTACAACGTGGAATAACACATGTGTATTTCTGAGAAATACAAATAAGTCTTCTGCTCCAAGAAATAGAAGCAATACAGTAATGAGAACTTACTTACCTAAAGTCTATAAAGCTGTGCTGTTGGCTGCCTTTTTAGTATTTGATACAACATTTTAAGGTTAATTTTCATGGAAGACCTACAGCTATTTTGTCCAGTCAGCCAAACAGCCCAAAAGATCAACCAGTATTTGTCTTCAATTTAAAGAAAACACCAAGCTTCTTCCCAGGAATGTATGTAACTCTAGACATACATTTGCAACAAATAGATAACTGAGGGTAAGAGTAGTTAGCACTTAACGGGTACCAACTTTCAGTTTGCGGTAACGAGAAAGGTTTCAGATAGATGGTAGTGGTTATATAATAATGTGAATGTACTTAATGCTAGAGAATTGCATTCTTACAGGTGTTACAATGGTAATTTTTCTTGTTTCTATATTCTGCAGATATAAAAGAGCCAAAAATATAGATTGGTTAAAGCAATCAATAAAATTGATTTATATTTATATGATTGAAAACACTTTCATTAGACTCACAAAAAATCAGAGAAGATGAGTATTACTTAAAATAGAAATGAAAGTATTTTAGTGTGAAGCTTATATAATACAAAATATGACAGATTATTATAAACAACGATATCCCAACTAGATAGATAAACTAATAGATCGGACAAATTCCTAGGAATGCTCAAAATACCAAAACGGAATCAAGAAAAAATACAAATAATTCTATAGTAAGTAAATATAATAAATAAGCAAACAAAATATCTCCAACAAACAAGATCCTAAGAGCAGATGGCTTCACTGGAAAATTGTAACGAATATTTGAAGAATAATTAGCACAAATCTTCCTCAATCTTAAAAAAGAAAGCTTGGCGAAAACACCTAACTCATTCAATGAAGTCAGTATTACCCTGAAGAGGGCACTAGGCAGATTTCATAGGAAAGGAGAACAACAGACAAAAATTCCCTTTAGATATAGGAGCTAGCCAGGCTCAGCAGTGTATGCCTGTGGTTACAGCCACTGAGGAAGCTGAGCCAAGAGGATGGGGTGAGAGTTTGGATCTAAAATTGCCCCCCAAAGCCTTCAGGGCTGCTACACTCACTATTGGATTAAGTCACTGATGAATCCACAGCTGAGTTGGCCTTGAAGGTCACAAGACCTCAGTTCAGAAGAAAGGAATAGAACTGTGTTCTTCAGAAAACAACTCCCGTCAATCCTGACATACTGGGCTAGAGCAGTCATCTAGAAAGTATCCAGTGTTTTAAGAGAGTTCATCATCCACACGGGTTTAGCTACAGAACAGCTGGTATGTGGCCACCTGGCAGAGCTCACAGCCTTTCACTTAAAAGAAAGGGACAGCTCCTCCTTCCCCTCCTGCTTCTCGCCACTGTGCCCTTCCACCATGTTGCGGCTGTGCCTGCTGAGCAGACAGGAACTGCGAGCCAGTCTCCCTTTACCTTGCAGCTGTCAGGTAACTTGTCCCAGCCGCTGGAGACTGACTAGGACAGATGGCTTGAGCGTACCAGTTCAGGCCAGCCTGAGCAACAGCATGAGACCCGGCTCATAAGAAAATAAATGAAAAATAGTTTTAAATATCCTTAATATTAACAATCAGAATGTACAGCAGCATATTAAAAGGGTTTTATGTCACAACCAAATGAGAATGATCTCACAAACACAAGAGTGATTCAACATACATTTGTAAGTATCAATTATATATATAGTCTTAACAGAATGAAAAGAAACTCAACTGTTGATGGGAAAAAGGCATTTGACAAAATCCAGTGCCCTTTTGTGATAAAAGCACTCAACAAAGGACCTTTCTTAAATCACAGCTAACATTTTAATTAATGGTGGAAGAATGAAAACGTTCCCTGCGATTAGGAACAAGACGAGAATGTCTTCACTCACAACTTATATTCAACACTGAAGCTCTTGCTGAGCAATTAGGTAAAAAGAAATCAAAGGCAGAAGAGTGCAGGGTTTCTTTTCAGGCTGATAAAAGTGTTCTAGAAGAGGTAGCAATGTTGGTTGTACAACACTGTGAAAATACTAAAAAGCACTGAGTTGTTTTTAGTGGTTAGAAGAGTAAATTTTATATTATGTGAATTTTGCCACAATTAATAAATAAGTTTTATGAAGGCATTGTTCAAAAACTCACTCTAGGGCTGGCCAGATAGCTCAGCAGATTAAAGTGCCTGCTTATATACTGTGCCCCTCCTCTCCCCCTGGAGCACTGGGATGGTGATTGAGACTGGGTGTGGTTGCATGTGCCTATAATCCCAGTGCTTGGGAGGCTGAAAACAGGAGGATCCCTACAAGTCCAATCTGTGTAGTGAGATCCTGTAAACCCTGTACTAAATACAATAAAACAAAACAAAACCAAAAAACTCACTCCAGTTTTCAAATGCTAGTATTGTTATGAAATTTTTAGGTCAATCCAAAACACTAAGCCCGGGATTTTGAGTTTACTTTCGTTTTTTTCAAAATTGTAGACTTATTTAATAGTATATTTTAATGTCTATTTCTCTGTATGTATGTATTGTGCACAAGTTCTAATAAAAATGTGTTTAAATTTTAAGATAATCTATGTAGAAAATGACACATTGCCATTAATCCCCTTAAAAATGCTAGGGGCCAGGGAGATGGCTCAATAGAATAAGCACTTGCCTGGCAAGCACATGGGCCTGAGTTCAATCCCCGGTTCTGCAAAAAAAAAAAAAAAAAAAAAAAAAAAAGCTTTCCCTTTTTTTGAATATGAACATACCTATCCAATTGCTCTGAAGCAATCCTGGACGTCCTCTTATGTGAGCATCTTTACAAAGTGTGACCAAAAATAAAGTGAATTCTGCTGCCAAGTGCCAGCCAACTGAAGGGCAGGCTCGTAAAAACTGGACTGTGTGTCGTCAACCACCTTATTCACCAGATTGGACACCATGAACTTCTGGCTCTTCTCCAAAGTTGAAATGATCATAAAATGTAAGTGCTTTGAGTTGGTTCATGACATCAAGGTACCTGTGACAGTGCAACTGAAACACTCATGAAAAGGGCTTCCAGAACTGCTCCAGGAGTGTGATCAAAGACCCGGGTTCCACTCCTGGTACTACATGCCATGTTGGCCCCAGAACCCTGGGCGCACCGTGCTGGCCACTGGTACTGGGCATGGTGGCGCACATCTCTAATCCCTGCGCTGGGGAGGCTGAGACAGGGAGATCACTGTGAGTCTGAGCTCATAGTGAGACCCTGTACCACATAAATACATAAATGAATAAATAAATAAATAAATAATTTTAAAATTATTTTGAGTGTTTTGAGTGGGATTAATGGCAATGTGTCTTTCACAGTAATTTTTTTAATTTATACATTCACTACAGTTTATGATCACACCTCACATAAACAAAATATTCAGAGAGAGAGAAAGAACAAGGGAGGGGAAGAGGGAGTGAACGGGGAAGGGAAGGAAACTAAGTTTCAGTGGCCACCACTTTAACATTCATAATTTTTTATTAACTTTTTGTCATTACAAAAATAACCAGCTGCTTCAAAATGGCAGGCTGAGCAGATGCTCAATTTTTTTCTCTTGCCTAAAGTACAAAACTGAATTTTCCCCCCAAAATCTGTAGTATACTTAGAAGACAGAACAGGAATGATTTTGGTGACAAGTTCCTGAAAGTCCAAAGGCCCAGTGACCGATAAACAAAAACTGTGCAGGAGACGGCTGCAGGAAGGTGCAAGCAGCCCTGCACCGCCGCACAGGATGGAGCCCAGGGAGGCGTGCACAGCGCGCAGGAAAGCAAGCAGCAAAGGACCCAGACCCGAGATCAGCCTCCCGCTCATCCCAACTGTTTTTGAAGATTGTAAATAAGGACGTAGACAATATATTAAAGGGGAAAAAACGATATAAGAAAGGAATTAAAATAAAACTGTCAAGGGCCGGCCAAATAGTTCAGTGGATTAAAGCACCTGCAAGCTGGCACAGGGATGAGGGATTCGATCCCTGGGCCTGCCATGCCAGCCCTGTCCCCGGGGCACGCTGAGACAGCAATTGAGACTGGGCGTGGTGGCCTGAGCCTGTAATCCCAGCTCTTGGGAGGCTGTAAACAGGAGGATCACTATGAGTCCAATCTAGTAGTGAGAACCTGAACACCTTGTAGACCCTTCCTTAAAATACAAAAAAATAAAATAAAATAAAAATAAAACTGTCAGACGATGATAGTCTACCTAGAAACCCTAAGAGAATCAACTGACAAATTATTAACACCAAGAAGAGAGTTTAACATGTAGTCTGATATAATAATGCTATTCAACATCTATAGTTTCAGTACCCACTTATTCTCTCTCATAAATTTTTTCAATAAAAATTTACCAGTACTGTACTTATAAAACTCTTTTTATACCTCTTCCTTATTGCAGTAAATGCTTTCCCCCATTTGCATAATGCTGTCTTCAATTTGGAGGGTTTTATTCTCATGCACATTATTACACATACATGTGTCCTTAAAGATATTATTGCAATAATTTCAAAATAAAGTGTGCATATGTGTTACCTTGTACATTGAAGAACTGTATACAAATAACATCAGATTAGGTAGGATATAATTTATATATATATTATATATATGCAGTTTTATATGTATGTCATTCTGAAACTTGATTTTCCTTATTACTATCTTTAGACCTACCCAAGTTAATATTTACACACACACACACACACACACATATATATATTTACACACACACATATACATATATATAGCATTCTTATTGTTTGGAGTAAGTATAGATAATATGTTTTTTCCACCAAAAAATGGGTACACACTTTAGTAGTTTGTCATACTAATAAATGTCTCAAAGTCAATAATGGCCACCACTTTCAACACCTCTTGTAATTGAAGAGGACAAAAGTAACTTGTATTAATTTTATGCTACTCAATAAATTCAGTTTTATAATATTTATACAAAATTTTTCTTTTCTGGATTATACATTTTTTGGTTGACTCTACTATATTGTTTTTCTCATTTCAAAAATATATATGGTAAACTGCATCCAAAGGATACATAGATTAAAAATAAATATCACACTGCAAGTACAAAGCAGCTTGAAAACAAATGGAGTAACTTCAATACTCATTAGTAGGAAGGTTAAATAAATTAGTGCATCTATAATATAGCAAACAATTTTACAACACCTAAAAAGAACTTATTCAATCTATAGGTACTGAGATAGAGATTTCCAAAATGTAAAACAAAATTAAAATAATATGAGCTCTTTCATATTCCAAGTGAAAATTGTGCATTTTGAATCATGTATGAATATTTAAGTGTAATTTAGAAAACAATATTTTAAGTGTATAACTTCGGCTGTTTTCCATAAGTGAAGGGGCTTTAAGAGGAGGAAAGGAGATGCTTTTGCTGTGTATTGTAACATTTTTTAAAATGAGACTATTTGTATTATATTTTTAGAGATAAACTGATGCCCTATCAATTTGGAGGGCAAATACTGGGCCAGAAACAGTGACCCAGGAGAGTGGCAAAAGCCCAACTCCCAGGACTCACAGCCCCATGAGAGCTGACCTTATTACTAGAATTTCCATGGTGCAGTTTATGGTCTCAGCCCATCACTGAAGTTTTCATCTAATTTATGCCCTTCTACACAAGTGCTTAGTTAGGTACCAGAAGCAAGATGAATGGTTGTAATGAACATACTTACTGACAGACTTCAAAGTTTTTGTTTGGAAAACACAACCACGGAAATTCAAACGCAGCACATTTAGACGCCACCTTTGCAGAGTAGACGCTATGAACTTCTCTGTAATCACACTTTTCACTGTGGAAAAATCAATCTAAAAAGGAAACATGAAAGGCAATAAGAGAAACAAGAAAGATCTGTTTCATGTAAAAATTTTAAGTATTTAAACTATGAAGTACTACAAGCTCATTTGCATATCATGGCCAAATAAAAAATGAGACCAAAATGTTAAAGTACTCCCTCTCATACCATATGCAAATTTCATAAATAAGATAGGAACACATGCAAAAACACACTTTCAAAAGTAATTTGAATTGGCTTTTTAAAAGAGAAATACAGTACATTGGGACAAAAATATAAACACAAATGGCTTTTCTCTGGTGCAACAGTGACCAGAGCCTTGTGGGTGCTAAAGGCTACTGCTGAGCTAAATCTCCAGGCCACAGGTGGTTTCTTAACTTGAGACAGCATCCTGCCTGTCCAGAGTTAAGGTATACAAGAGAATGTCCATATAGACATCAATACAACAGAGACTCTACAAATTTTTGTGATTATCAATCAATCCAACTTTTACCTGAGTAATGTTGCCTCTAGAAATTTATCCAGCAGATATAACCATATATGCATATTTTTAAAATAAGGACTATGATGTCCACTACATGATTTTAATGGCAAAAGAAGCAAACAAACTAAATGTACTTTGATAAGAGACTGCTTAAATAATTTGAAGGACTTCACAAAACTAAACATTGGAGGACAGAAGCTGAATTCAGGGCAAAAAGGTATAACTGAGAAAGAGAAAACCTAAAACAATATGGTCTACTACGCTATTATCTTATTGTCTGATTCAGTCCAGAGACAAAACTCACAATATCTATAAGAATTAATAGACCAAATCTTCCTGGAATATTGCTCTTCAATCTTTTGTTGAAGACTGATCCTCAGAGTTTAAGATTTGATTATTTTACAAGAACCTAGACAGCAGTAATCCTATGATGTCAGTCAAGGACTGTCTAATGGCAGTCCTGTCAGTATCTAACAAATACTTGGTGATTACAAATACTTGGTGCACATGCTTTGTAGTCAGACAGGGTAGAGTTTGAATTCCAACTAAGATGTTTAACAACCTAACCACTCACCTTGAACTTAGACTATAGTATTACTAAACTAAGCATAGGAGTTTTGTGGTTTGTTTCTTTCTGTCTGTCCTTTATTTCATGCGTGAAATGAGAAAAATAACAGTGCCTACCTCAGTAGGCAACAAGGGTAAATTCAGAAAACGCAAATGTAGTGTCACCCCTGCAACACAGGAGGTACTCAATAAAAACTGGATACAATTATTAGTTCAAATAAACAAAAAAGCAGCATAAAATAAGCATGCTGCTTTTAAGAAAGAAGAAGAAATTAAGCATGGAGTAGGACTAAAATGTGTAACACATAGTCTCACTTAATTTACATACACATAGACACCATACACTCCAGTGTTGGATAAGATGGGTTTCTCCACTGGCACCTTTCTTTGCCCTGGAAACTTTGGCCTGGCACCTTTGCCCAACTATTATTTTTGCAACCTGAAAACATGCCTGTGTTTCTTATTCCAAGGAGACAGCATGGAGAACACTTGGCCTACAATAAAAATTCAGCATATATAATGACTTTTCTCATTTGTTTATTTGTTTGGTACTGAGTATCAAACTCAAGACCTTACACTTTTCAGGCAGGTACTTATGCCACTGAGTTACCTCCCCGGCCCTTCTCATTTGTTTCTTGGATGGTGTTGGGATCACAACAGCTATGATCATTTATACCACCAATCAATGCCCAGTGGCTGTTGCTTTCTCTGTTGGTAGCTGACTCTACCACCCCTCCTTGTTTCCAGTGGCTGGAGGATGGTGATATCCTTTGCTCAGACTGAGACACTAAGGAGGGGTGCCAAGATGCCAAGCTGCAGATCCCCAGGGCAACTCAGCACCATCCCTATCCACCTGAGCACAGCCCTCTCCTTGAGGTCCTCCTCTGATCTCCCTTTGTGCAACACTGGCATGGACAGAATTGATCCGATCCTAACCAACAAGTTAAACATTCCCGATTCATGGTTAGGTTAAGGAAGCAATTCTAAAACTGGAGTCCGTATTAGCATAGTATGAATGGATGACGAAAACAGATTGTTGATTGCTGGGCTCAGGGTTTCTGAGTCAGGAATCTGAGCCAGGGCCTGACCGCCTGCATTTCCAGCACATTCCTGGGCAATACTCATGCTGCCGATCCCCAAACACTTTGAGAATCTTACTTACAGGATGGACACTTGAGGATAAATACTGAGTGGGAAATGATAGGTATGGTATTATGATCAGGACAGATCCTGCAGAAAATCAGGCAGAAACCAGAAAAAAGCCATGACTTCTACCCAGAGACCTCACTGAATAAAGATGCAGAGGATATGAGCACACAGCAGTGAGGACCACAGCCGGAGCAGGATTAAGTTTCTATATGCTCAATAAATTTCTCTTTCCATAATTACATGCTGCCCACTAATCCTATTTCTGCCCTTATCAGTAAGTGCTCAGATGTGGTGTACTTATCACAAGCATTTTAGCACAAACAGCTTTGCTCAGAAAACAATGAGAAGCGATAACTTAGAAAGTGAATGTTGGGCTGGTGAGATAGCTCAGAGGACTAGCCCCTACTTAGGCAAGCACAAGGACCGGGGTTCGATCCTGGCACCCCAAGCCGCACTGGTCCTGCCCTTGGGCAAGCTGAGCTGGCCAGAGACTGGGAGTGGTAGAGGACAGCTGTAATCACAGACTGGGGAGGCTGAAAACAAAAGGATCACTAGGAATCCAAACTGCAGAGTGAGACCCTGTACCAAATACAAAAAGAAAGAAAGAAGGAAGGAAGGAAGGAAGGAAGGAAGGAAGGAAGGAAGGAAGGAAGGAAGGAAGGAAGGAAGATGAATGTTTACAAACTGGATGTTTCATGTAAAGAAATTGAAGTTTTAGCTAAAAAATAACCTCAATATCATATCAGTATCATGGCTTATCAGTCAGGCTTGGCCACTCAGAGCTCACATAAATAAACTCAGCTTTTGTCAATTTAAATGCAATCAGTCAAGTACACTGAGAGCATTCTTTCTTTTGTGTAGAACTAGCCCCTCCCAATTTTAAGTTAGAATCAGTCCTTTTGAGCTACGCAGTCATAGTGAACCACACATTTGACACTGTCTTTCTCACAGAGTCTGTGCTCAGAAACAGAATCAGACACACATTAACAATGAAACCAGGAGGAAGTATAAACTAGTCAACAAGAGGCTTTGCTTTAGTCAAAAAATAAGTCAATTTGTACCAACAATTCAAATTTTAAAATATTAATATGTCTCTTTAAAAAACATCATTATTGTTTTTATTTTGTCCTCTAGGCTTAGGTCCAGGCCAAAGAAAAGCTAATGCACTTGCTCCTGGTGGCCACAGGGGACAGAGCTGGGAGAAGGCCGTCCCTGGAGAGGCCAGCCTGACCAGCGCGGTCACCTGTCCATAAGGCATCGCTGCGCAGTACGGCGAGTACCTACTCACCGCATTCCACAGCAAGTTCATTTGTATCATCGACATCCAGGAGTAGTTAACTTGACCACATGCTATCACATCTCGTAAAGTGAGGTACAAGAAAATCTAAATGCAAAGAAAAGAGACACAGTTTCAAAGAATGTGAGAACTTGGCTGAACTCCTCTGCTTGGTTTGTGTGTACCTGTGTGAATAAGAACAATATGATCCATACATTAAAACAGCAGAAGTTTAAGTGCTAAAATTTTCTCTGAAGACACCAATTTTACTCAAATTACTGGAACTTTTTGCCATTGACTTTTATATAACATGATGTTTTTTCTTTAACACAATGTGTTATATACTGTGTTTCTACAGTAAGTCAAACTTGGTGCCAAAGTATGAACTCTGTAAAACAGTGTTTTGTTCTTTATAGCCATTCCTTACCACTTCATTTAAAGAAATAGTGTGAGGAATTGACATAGACCTCTTAAAAGCATGAATCTGAGAATGTCTTCTAAAAACTATATTATGAACTCGGCCCTTACAGTGAATCAAACTTTAACAAACTGAAAACTCTGCAATGTGGTATTTTTCACGGTTCTTTAGAATGTTCACTTACCATCAAATTTAAAGCCCTCTTATAAGGCATTTGAATAGATATGTTGAAGACATACTAATGGATCCTCCTAACTGATGGTCAGTGAGAAAGATAAAATTTTAAGATTTCTTCAAAGAATAGCTGGCACTGGGAGGTTATTAGTAACTGCTGAACTAAGTGGGACTTTTCTAAAGTTACAGAAGGGGGCTGGGGAGATGGTTCAGTAGAATAAGCACTTGCCTGGCAAGTGCATGGGCCTGAGTTCAATCCCCAGTTCTGCTAAAAAAAATTTAAAAATAAAAAATAAATTGCTAAAGTTACAGAATTATTGAGAAATATCAATAAACCTACCTAATATTTATCTCTGGAAAAATAGACTAGAAAAGCAGGAAATATTGTTGATACAAATAACCAGCAAATGTGAAACAATTTTCTAAAAAATATGATTCGGTTTTCAAGAAAGAAAGGGAAATGTCCAGGGCCCCAGTCCTGGCCCAGACTGGCAGAAAGGGGCTCACAATTTTTTGGGCAGCAGCTGGCTGGTGGCCACTTTTCATGCAGTCAGGATTTATTGACCTGGCCAGAGGCAGCAAAGTCACCAAGCTTACATAAAACTGGAGTGTGTGTGTGTGTGTGTGTGTGTGTGTGTGTGTGCGCACGCGCATGCATGGGTGTGTTATGGACAGGAGCAGGGAGCCTGCCCAGGATTATGAAAAGAGAGCTAGAAAATTATCTATCTCTTGGCAAAAGAAAAACTAAGATACTGAGCCTGGTATGAAAAAAATCTAAAGAATCTGTAAGCAAAGGCCAACTACCATGTGTGTTGGAATTTTGATATTAATTATCTTGGGGGTCCATTTGGAATTTACTACCTTTATAAGTAGATTTGATATAGTGCCATCCAAAGAGTTTCTTACGTGGTAATAACTCTAGGACATTTGGCAGATGTGAAAATCATTCTCTCTAAAGAGACACGTACCCAAGTGAGGCCTTGTGGGATTCTCACAGAGGAGCCCCCAAAACTAGACAATATCTCCTACTCAAAAACTGCAAAACATATGAGGGAGAGAAACAATAAGAATGTACTGAAATAAAAACAACATTACTGATAAAGTTACCAGGTAGTGATTATAAAACCTTTAAAGTAAGAAAGCAGAAAAAAAATAAAACTCTTGAAAAGGACAGGACAGATTTGTGAAAGAACCAAATAAAATGCAAGGGGATTAAAATATAATTAATAAGGGGCCAGGAACATAGCTCAGTGGCATAAGCACCTGCCTGGCAAGCACAAGGTCCTGAGTTTGATCCCTGGTACCAGAAAAAAAGTACATATATATAATTAATGAAGCTTAAAATTTAATAAAGGAGAGTCCAAGATGTGAATAAGAAGTGCCCAACTATCATCAGATTCTTCAGCAGACAGAATCAAATGACTAGAAAACAGCTACTCTTTGAGGTAGGTGACTGTGGAAAGGCATTGAACTTGGAAAAAAAAAAGAGGCTTGAGAGAGGAGAACAAAATACAAGAAAGAGTTCTAGCACCAAATGTCCAGAGGCACAGGTCCAGGTAGAGGAGAAAGGGGAAGAAAGACTGGCCCCAAACCCAACAACACAGATCTCAACCCTGTGCAGAAGTGCAGTCTATATGGCCAGAAGCCCTGGATTCTGTACAATGTGACAGCTCTGGGGAAGAACTCTTGTCCTACACACAAACATGGTGGCATTGTTGATTTCACTTAAGAAGGTCATGTCTGGGCTTACTGCTTAGGGCAGTGGTGGCCACCCTATGGCATGTGTGTCACAGTGGGCATACAGAGCTCTCTTTTCTATGCAGAGCCAAGTTGCCCAGCATCACCCCAGCAGCCAGCCACACATCAGACATTCAAGTTTAATTGCAGGGTTGGCACTTGGTAATAAACACCTGGGCTTTGGAGTGTAGTTTTGGCACTCACACTCTAAAAGGTTTGCTATCTCTGGTCAGGGAATTAAAGTCCTCTGTGTTTTCCTGCCTGCTCCAGGAACCAGCAGCAATGGTAGTTGCCTTTCGCTGGTTACCACTGTATTTGCATTCCTGGCTTGTCTATAGGTGAGGTTGTTTCTGCCATTTTTTTTCCTTTTCCTGAGTACTGGAAATCAATCCTAGTATCTTAAAAAGGGGGGTAGGGGTTGCTGAGCTACAACCCCAGTCCAGTTGTAAGAAACTGTACCTCTATCCAGCTATGATCCAGCCCCACTTGCTTTGAACTATAGCAAATATTGTCTCATAAAGAACAGGGGAGGTAGCAATCTCCAGCCACTGACTTGGCCCCAAGTAGCCACATCTAGGAGGTCCTACTCATTTACGCCCACAGTAATGTCAGAGACAAAAGCACAACTGTTGCAGACATCACTACCTAAGCATAGGTAGTTTCCATACATTCTATATTCTACATCTCTGGCAACTCTGAATGATTAACCATGGGGTGTCCACCTAATATACACAACTGCCCATAACACATGTGTCTGAAATACAGAGTCCTAACTCTAGAGACACCCATAGAGGAAGAAGATCACTTAGGCTTTGACACAGTACACAATCGAAACCCACTAATCACAGCCAAAGAGGCTACAAGGAAACTACCCCAACAGGTCCATTTGGAATTAAACCCAACATTGCACACAAACCAAGGGTATATTGACAAGGGAATGCTACCCATCAGCAAGATTCTCACATGATCAAGGAGGAAAGTTTCATCCCAACAGAGACTCAAATCTCAACACAGAAACACAAGAAATATGAAAAGTCAAGAGAAAATGAATCTTCCCAAAGTCATTAACGTGGTAAAACCTGACTATAAAAATAATGAAGTAGATGAAGTGCTAAAGAATTAAAAAAGGTTGATTTTCAAGTGATCAATGGATTAAATAGCAATAGAAATGAGTAGATGATTGAATCAAGTGAGGCAATATAGGATATGAAAAGGCAATTCAATAAATAAATAGAGCTCTTGAAAAAAAACCAAGGAGAAATCTTGAAAATTAAAAGCTTAATAAATCAAAAACCTCAGTTGAAAGACTAGATTAAGTGTAATAAAGGGTATGAGCACTTGAAGGTAATGCATAGTGTAATAGAAAATCCCTCCCTTCCCAACCCCCACAGCCATATACTTTTGTTGCCCAGGTAACAGTTCCTGTTCCAGTTTGGGTTGCTCCTGTTTCTTAGAAACAGCTGGTCCCTATGATGCATAGCTGGTTGCTATGATACACATTGTATAAACCAATCCCTAACTGACAAGTCACTCTGCCTCTGTACTTCCTGCCTGCTTATCCCATATAAGCCCTAGACAATGTAGATCAGGGCCAGTGCCTGTCAATATAAATAAATCTGCCTCCACATCCTGGGTGATGTTTTGGTGTTTCTGCTTGCCATTGCAAAATGAACTAAAATATAACTATAACTTTGGAAAACAATAAAGGAATGAAGGAAATATAAATAGAACATAAAAGATGTTCAGAATAATATTAAAAGACAAAATATAAGAATCAAAATAATATAGGGCTGAGAGTGTAACTCAGTAGTGAAGTATTTGCCTGGCTTGTGTGAGACACTTAATTCAAAACCTAGTACTACAAAAAAAAAGAAAGAAAAGAAAAAGAATCAGAAATGTTAGGAATAAACAAGCACCCACGATATAGAATAATGGCATAGAAAACCTATTCAGTGAAATAAATGCAGAAAATTTCCCACATCCTGGGAATGATATGGACTTATGAATACTGATGACAGTTAGACCTCCAAATAGACATGACTAGCAAAAAGCATCTCCCCTACAAATTATAGCTAAAATGCCAAAAGTACAGAACAAAGAAATAATATTTACAGCTGTCATAAAAACATACCAGTGACTTGTAAAGGCTATTGTCAGAATAATGGCAGATCTATCAGCAGGAACTATAAAGGCCAGGAGAACATGAAATGACATGTTTCAAGCCCAGTAAGCAATAACTGCCAACCTAGATTACTCTATCCAGCAAGTTTATCATTCAAAATCAAGGAAGAAATAAAGATTTTTCCAAGATAAGAATAAATAAAGAATTCAGAACTACTGAACAAGCCTTAGAGAAAAATCCTATAACCAAAGGAGAAACTAAGATAAACACAAACACAAGAGCACATGAAAAAATATATCTTACTAAGAAAGAAAATAATGAAACAAGAAGTGGGTTATAATTACACAAGTTTATTTCACTAAACCATCAAAGTTCTAGGATTAATAAGGAAAAAACAGACATAGAGTTACAGTGTAGATCTAAAATGTTGCCCAAAGTTTGCATATGTTTTGAGACAGTGGTTTTGGAGGTTGATTAGATCATGTCTCACTATTAATCCACCAGTGAGTTCATAGCTCAACCTGAACCTGGCCAGAAGAAGCAGACACTTAAGGCATGATCTGGAAAGTTACATTCTCGTCCCCAACTCTTCCCCTCATTTTGTGGTCCAGCTACCATTGCTTGAGCAACTTTTTTCCATCAGGCCCTTCCCTTATA